TTTGTCTGCTTCTGAAACTCTGAGTACATCAGAGCCGTCCGTTTCAACAGCCATGGTTTTCTTTTTCCATTTGCACGAAACAAAGCCAAAACCTCAGAACTCTCCCATTGGCTCGCAGATGTCCGTACGCTGTCCCTCTCTGCAACTTGCTCTCTCCTAAATATAAAAGCTTTCTCTCACTTTCCTTCAATTTCTCTCTCTTGAAACTTGCATAGACTTATCTGTGGACGATTTGAACTTTGAAGAAAGGAAATATGCAAATTAGCAAACTTTATGATGATCCATTTCAAAGATGACTGGATCTCACTGATGGATCTCTTTTTCATGGAAATTTCTAGAGAGAGACAAACAGAGATTTAGGAAATGGGGATTTTGATTTTTTGGGGGAGAAATTAGGGTTAGGGATGTTTGATGAAAAGAAGAGAAACCCAGATTAGGAATCATGACATAAACCACTTTGTGTCAGTGATCAAGAACCCACAAAAATCATCTAGTGACGTGACCAAAGATTCTGCAAACAGAAACTAATCTTGGTCATCAAAACCCTAGATTTATTTACACGGTCCTGAGGGTAAAAGCTGAAAGAACCCAAGTGAAATTTTGGAGAGATTTGATTGGTTGAGGAAGGATCTCTTTACTTTACTTGATTTAAGGGTTACCAAATAAACGAACCCTAATTTTGGTTACTTTTGACTGCGGAATTGGGAACTCACGTGGTGCAAATTTGGGATTTAGGGAAATATGAGTAAACCCTAATTAGACATGATAAGTTGTGATTTGATTTCGGTCATCAGTCATCTTGGTTTTGAAAACCTAATTCAGATTTTGATGGGATTATTTTTTTTTTCAACTTAGAGAAAGTACTTTTGCTTTCTTGATATTTAACTGATGTGCCATTAAGGAAGTGTCAAAGAGATTAAAGGTTTGGGCTAATGGGAACTCGACAGCTTAGTGGCAGCTAGCTTTCCCTTAGCCACATAGATTTCCACGGAGAGAGAAACAGAGGAATAATGGGAAGGAAAAGAAGAAGAGAAAGAAACAGCAAATTCAACAACAATGGAGGAGAGAAGAGGATGAGCTCACATGCCTGCAAAAACACCTATCATGCTTCTATTTCTTTCTATTGCACCAGATCTATGTGTCCACCAAACTGGGAACTCCAGCAAAACTCCCAATTTCATTTTTTTTTGGTTTTAAAAAAGGGCCTAAAGCTGATAGAACTAAACAGACAAAATAGATGGAAGAAAGACATGTGAATCTTAGTTAGAGAGAACTCAATCTAGACTTCACATAAAAAAATGATTATAATCTGTTTGACCAAATCCACCCAAAGATCTATTTTCAGAAGCAGGAAATAAGCTAATAAATCATTCCATGGCTGTTTAAACCCTTTTTCTAAACTATAGAAAAGAAGAAGAAAACCCATTTGCAGAAAAACACCAAAAATATTAGGGAATGAAATTAAGGAAAAGAAAAGAAAATGATGAAAACTTGGAGAAATTGAAATCAAGAGAACTCTGTGTGTTGTACCTATTGTTGGCATACTCATAGAGGCGGCCGCGGCTGGAGAAGACAACCAGGGCAACTTCTGCATCACAAAGAACTGATAATTCATAGGCCTTTTTGAGTAAACCATTTCTCCTCTTGCAGAAGGTAACTTGGCGATTTGTGGTGTTTTCGATCCGCTTGATCTCGATCTTTCCCCTACCAGTTTTCCTCTGTGGAGATGCTTCCCTTGATTGATCACTTGGGTACACCATGTTTGCTGCAAACTGATCCCCATACACAACCAAAGAAAAAAAAAAAGGGAGAGAGAGAGAGGGAGAAGAAAATTAATAAAAATTTTCTAAGTGCTTTTTCATGATCATGAGTGTTAATTTACAAGACATAAGAACAAGAAAACCTGTATGAAATTCTGTCGAAATAGAATTTTATTGTTTATACACGCAAATTTTTTTTATTTTCATGGAGATCAAAGAGAGTAGAAATATATGTAAGTAGAGGAATTAGGATGGGGTGAAGTGAAAAAGATTGACTGACCAAAAAGAAGTGAAACAAAGAAAATGATTAAAAAGATGGTGTTTCAGATTGTAGCTGACTAACCTGTTGAAGAGAGAAAGGGAAGATTGATAATTAAAGGCTTTGAGAGTTTCTCTTCTTTTCTTCTGCAAATCTACACAGAGGATACGGAAAACGGAAGCAAGGGCGGTGCTCAGAGGTGGGTATTTATAAAGTAAATAACGACCCTTCAAACTGTTATTGCTATTAAATCAAGTCAAATAATGTCTACAATTTTTATGTAAACCTAGCTATTTTCTTTTCTGATATTTTTTTTTCCTTGTTCTTAATGGGACTGGTGTATCAAATTAAAGTTACATCACATCAAGTTAGCACCTTACCTACAGTTTCATAAGGCCTATTTAGGATAGCGATTTGCATGTCACAAGTAGAAGAATTTTTTTTTTTTTTTTTATGGAAATTAGAGATTTCTATTGATTTCATCAAAATCTCTATGTATCATGGCACCATAACTTAAAATTGAAGTATAACCTATAGCATTAGTTATAGCTTTAAACCATGTATATCCACAAAAAATTTAGACAATTAAATATAGAGAGTTATCTGCAATTAAATATTAAAAGCAATTGTTATAGGGGCAAAAATAGAGTTACCTAAGTAGGAGGATTATCCTATTGAGCAGTCAAAGTTTCTAAAAAATCCCACTAAAATTGCCAACTTATAGGGAGAACAGATAACTTAATAGGTGATAGTCTCCACCCACCAATTGTTGGTCCTTCCTTAAGCCAAACAAGCCTTAATCTCCCATCCACCTGCAGCCTATAATACCACTCACAATCGTTGCCTTCAATCTACTAATTGCCTTCAAATCCAAGCTCCTTTGCTACCATTGACAATTGTCCCTTAGTTGTCCCATAGAACTTGATAACGAGGGACTTGACATACTCAAGAAAAAATTGCCTTAAATGATAGTAGATTCACTGTAAACAAAATAGTGGAAAAGGAATAAAAAGGGTAGAAGAGAAAATATGATAAGGGGAAACAGCAAAGGAGGAGAAGGGTAGGCAAAAAGAGAATGTAAAACGGAAGGGGGAAAGAAGCAAAGAAGAGGGATAGGCTTGGGGGAGGTGAAAAGAAAGGATGGAGGAGGCAAGGAAGAGATGGGATGGGGAACAACGATCTTCTAGCTTTTGCCACCGTTCCCCTTTTTTCTAAGGGAAGGGTTTTTGGGAGGCACCTAGCTCCTAGATTTTGAAAGAAATGAATATTAAAATAGGTAATAAAATTTTTTTTTTTGAACAGCTAAAATAGGTAATAATTGATACATCCTTTAGTTCAACACACCTACCAATATTTATTAATTCAACCATTAAATTTTGCAGGTGAAATTTTTCTTATCTTAAATTCAAATTTAAAAATAATAATTTTTTAATTAATGTGTTAAACTAAAAAGTGTATTAATCATTTTTCATTGAAATATTATTGAGTGATCACAAGTAGGGGATATTGATTGAGTTAACCAATTGGTTATATGTCATGACTAGAGGCTAATATTTGATATTAAATAACTAATAAGGACACATTAAAATTTTTTTTTTTATTTTATCTTTTACCACACTAAAAGAATTTTAATGGTGATAATACTCTCTCTGTTTAATTTTAGTAGGTCTTTTTTTTAAAAATAAAATAAAGATGTAATAATTGATTGATAAAATTTTATATTTATTTGTAATTAATCACTACTTAGATGAGCCTTTCTTATTAAATATATATTATAATTATTCTTTTAAATAAAAATCAAATATAAATAAATGCTGTAAATTAAAAATTATAGGTGTACTAAAATTGATGGCGAAGGAAAAGTAATAATATGCAATCATGATTCATCAATTGAAATCCCTCTTTACTAATCAAGTAAGATTATTAGTTTATTAAAAATCTTACTGATTACTTTATCAAGTTAAGCATTGAAGTCTAGAGTTTGCAACATGAAAGAGAGAGAGAAAGAAATGTTTAGGCCTGTTTGGTGGGGGAAAGAGGGGAAGAATTTCCCCAAACTTTCTCCTTACAAGGGTTTTATATATTTTCACACTTTAATATTATAATAAAATAATGATAAAAATAAATTTTTTAATCTTTATCTTTCTTGACACAATTCTCAATTAGTAACATTTCTTCCAACTTTTTTTACAGGAAAAAAATTTTCACCCAACTCTCTTTATGTATGATTTACTTAATAATTTTCTTACTAATTTTTTCTATATCAATTTCTTGTGAAAGACAAAAAAGTTAACAACCAAATAAAATTTTAATAAAACTTTATTACAAAATTCATAAAATTTTTTATATAGTACTTTTCCAATTACTTTCTCAATGCCAATTACTTTCTCAAAAAATTGGTCTCTAACCAAATAAAGCCCTAAGGTTTGACTTGCTGGGCTTATGACACGAAACTGTTGAGGAAGAAAAAAAAATACTTTCTTATGAATTAAAATGTTTCAAAGCATAAAGCCAACAAAAAATGACATTGATTAGTATACACTCCGATTTAATATATTGCACAACTTATTCATTAAAAAATTACTATTTTTTAGTTTGAAATTAAAGATAAATAAATTTAAAAATACAACCATGAATATAAAATACAAGAATTGGCTAAATCAATCATACTTATATTATATTTTAATAGCTAAATATGGATGAGTATTAGAATTTTAAAATGTGTTGAATCAAGTGTGTACTAATAATCTTTCAACAAAAAAAGACATTGATTGATAGGCACCCTTATTCAATATACTACACAACACATTTATTAAAAAATTACTATTTTTTTTATATGAGATTAAGCGTAAACAAATTTAAAATTTTAATTATGCATACAAGATGCATTATGGTCCAATTAGAAAGGGAGTATTAAATTTGTAAAGTAATTAGGATCCTAACATATATAGTTTATTATAATTACTTTTTACTAGTACAATTTTTTTTAAAAATAAAATAATAAAACTTAATCATGATGGTTAATTTTGCCAAATAAATACACTAATAGTTAATTTTAAATTACTATACCAAATTTGTCCCTAATCCTAATTAAGATTAGGGCTTCCTCTTTCTAGTGGCATAACCAGGATTTAAGGCTAGAGAGGGCACAAATATAAATTACAAAAAATTTTCTTTCAAGCTAAATGGTTTTTTTAATACTATAATTTCTTGTTATTAAGATAATATATAAATTACAAATAAAAATACTCTAAAAGCAATGAAAAAATAAGAATACAACAATGATAAAACATGAACATAAATAAAAAATAATGATAAAGAAGAAAGAGATGAAATTAATTTTACTTCTTAAAATGTAATTATCCAAGTCCTACAACTTAATATGCAAAATAACCAAATCCTAAAATTCAAAAAATAAAAAGTAAAATAATCATAACAACAAAATAGTAAATATAAACTGGAAAAGAGATGCTCCATAAATTGATTAAAACAAATCTTCAGGCTAAAGCCTATTTAGAAATAGAGTAATTTGTGCTAATAAATTAAATTGCAAATTGGAATAAAACAAAACAAAACATATCAAGTATACAAATCTAGATTTGCATTGTAGGGACTAATATAAGAATAAATATAAAACTTAAACACAAGGCTACAAATTTTGTTGACAAAGTTGACAAATAAAAATAACCATGAAATAGGTATAAAACAATTCAAAAAGATGCCTCCAAAAGGGTGGCTCGATTATTTAAGAGTTTAAAGTTTTAGATTGAAAATTTGAAGTTCAAACCTTGAGTCAACTAATACAGAAAGATTTGAAAAAAAAAAAAAAAGAGTTATCTAATTTTGTATAGCTCATTATCAGATGTATAAAAAAAGAAAAAAAAAAATCAACAAGATGATCAGCATAAACTCATAACAACTTGAAATTAACAATGATTGATCTTTTTTCACCACTGACAAGAACTAATTAGAATACTAAAGCTTTTCTCCCCAAACAAATTTAAAATCAAACGGTATAATCAATTACTGATTATAGTTAAGAATAAAAATCAAATAATCAATAATTTAAAATTTAAATCCAAAAACAATTAATAATTACAATAATCAATATCTGTAAAAGAATATTCCAAAAGAAATCAAAAGTTCATAGCCATGAAAAATATTAAAATGGTAGAGTTATATTTTGAATTGATAAAAAAAAAACGTGAGTTTAGATTATAAACTACGATATATTTAACAATTAATTTTAAGTTTGCCTCTTTTTACTTAATAATTAGCCTATATGCTTTAATTTTTTATTTTATAATTAAAATTAAATTTTTTTTCAATATTTTAAAAGGGCTGGGGTCCTGGAGTCCAGGCCCTCCTGGCTCTGCCACTGCCCCTCTCCCATTTTTCTCTCTCCTTTTATTATTTTCTTTTGGGACTTATTTGCTATAA